TCAGCAAAGAAATCCAGGATTTGAAGGAACAACCTTCTTAGCAGGGGCCCAAAGGGCTAACCTGCAGAGTAACACACCGCACACAGAAGTAACAGATAAACAGATAAGTTTGGAATCACTGCTCCATCCCTCCATCCATCTGCTAACTCTTTTATACAGCTAGGTTTACACTAACAGGTTTTATCCAAAACACAACTATGAATCACAATATCACAGTAATAAGGCAGCGAAGCACACTGGGATGGTATGAAAATGAAATCATCCACAGGTCTGTTTTTAATATGCCGCTGGTGAAATGCCTGATAACAGATGTGCCCTAATGCCCCCACCCCCCACCATGCCTGAGAGAAGCCATTTTTGGAACGACCCCAACAATAGGCGCAGTAAAGAGGAGTCACATGAGCAATCACATGTGGAGCACATCTGTGTTGGACAGCCCACGTGTTTTGCTGTTCATTAAATCTGATTGATCTTCAATGGATTGATTAAGCCGATTATTACTAACCGCAATTTAGGGACACTGCATCAATCAAGGTAAGCTGCAGCGCTTTTATCCCAATCAAAATTTTACCTGAAGACCCCGAGTAGCAGGATAAGCGGCTGGGAGATGGACGGAGTTTGTCTAGCTTTGCATGTTGGGATAAAACCATCCAAGAGGCTTTGAACTGAGCCCAAGCAGCGCCGTTCTGTAAGTCGACCACTTCATGTGCTTTAAAGCCAGGCTCATCTGACTTTGATACATTAACAGGGAGCCTGACTAGACGACGCGATTCTACAAGGGTGGTAAGGAGCCTCGGAAAACCATCACCGCAATGAGGCCAGACCTCAACATGTTTCTCCACCCAGCGTTTTGTAGAAGGAAACCATGATTTTATCGTCAGTTAAGCTGACATGCATGCATATCAGTGCGGTGTTTTTATATATTCATGACCACCGACCCACACGCGTGTGCACACATACTCACACGCACAATTTTATACATCATATATTCACATATTCATACCCCAAAAGGCCCCAGCTTCTCTGAACCCAGAACTTTTGCCTCAAATGGCCCCACTTCAGACTTACAATGTTCCCGACGTGTTATTTTTATATGAAGGAAATACACTTAGTGAGTATTGATTTGAACTTGGCTGCTGTGATGGTAAACATCATTGGTCACTATGACAATGTATACAGAGTGAAGCCAGATCCCAGGCTACCAGGCTGAGTGTCTCCTGCTTTTCTGTTCAGGACAGCGACTGAGTCACACACCGCAGATCATCGATGGCCCGTGATGAAGGAACGATCGCGTCACTTGACATTAGGGCTGCCATGCCCCGGGTCAGTCAACGGTCACCATACTTCCTAAACAGCAGGAGTGACATTTTGGGCTCATAGTTAATTAAATTATATTGTGTGTGTGTGTGTGTGGGGGGGGGGTCGGCCAGTTCTGCTATTCTGTTTTTCTTTACATGCTTTCTGGATCTCAGAAGACCAATTTACCATGAACCTGAAGCAGATATTTCTGACGAGGCAGCCCCAGCAAGCGTTAAAACAAAAACATGGGTAAGAGGACAGACTAGCAGAAA